ACTCCATTCGATGTCTCGGAGACAAATAGCAAATTGTTGTTGCAGGAAATATCTATAAGTCTTAATTGTTCATCAGTAGAAGCTAAGAGGAAGCCCGTCGCGCATATCCCACGCTCTACCCCTGCCTCGTGCTTGTCTTCCTTCGCCTGAAAAACGCACAAATATGACGTTCTGAGGGCTATCAATAGGATGCCTAAGTGTCTTCATTCTCAGGGCGCTTAGATTTCGAATCTGTGACAGTGGTTCGCTATGACCTCTTCGTCTGAAACCTGATCTGATTATTGTGTCAACCGTTGGTGACTTCCGCATTGCAGCTCACTCCACTTAGCGGAGTTTAAGTCAAGACAATGAATAGGGCTTTAATGACCTCGTTAAATCATGGAATTCATCGTTTGAATGGAATATAAAGGGCATCCTTTATATTCTCTTAATCGCTTGAAACTTATACTGAATCATTGCCATGGTTTGCAATTAAGGATGATTATGACTTCACAGATCGATCCTTGTCAGGTGAATATATACCGAATTTATTCCAAGTCATTATAACTTCAACGGCACAGAAAAAGTAATCTACAGAAAAACATAAAGTTCCATTTATGCTCAGAACTTGCCGCTGACCATGGGAAAGGTCTTTTTTTCCGAAATTTCGATTCAGTTCTCTTGGCAACGGAAAACTTCTATTCGTCAAATTTAACTCTCTCGCCACCTCAAACCGTTCAATAGTTTTATTTCCTACTCTAAACATCCCAGGAAGACTAACACGTGATAATCAGCGGATCGCCTCTTGTAAGGAATCCAAGACAGTCACGTCTTGGATTATGGATTTCACATCTTGGATTCCGAATTCCTTGAGCTGTTTTCCGGATTCCAAAGCCGGAGATTCATGGTTCTACTAGCAAAGTTAACATTTCCAGATTCCGGATTCATAAATTCGGATTCCCTCTCGTTGGGGAAAAAGAAACTACGAATAACCAATCTTGAATGATAGAAGCTACACCCTGCTAAAGCTCTTAAAAATCTTATATGATCGGGGTCACATTAAACATTGTGCATGGGATTAAATATAATAATTACAGAACTTCGGAAAGTATCGTAAATACTTCTGGTAATTCCCCATCCTTTCTTCAGACATCACTTCGACTGGCCAGAAGAATTTACTTTGTCCGATTCTCTACGATCTCTGGGTTTTTTCAGTCAAGGAAAGTCTTGTAAACGATGCTTTAAGTTGCTCTTTTTAAATCAAGCTTTCTAAGAGCATATGCTACCGGACGGAAGGGAACTTCGCAAAGTATGGTAAATACTTCTAGTAAGAAAAAAATTTATTAAATGATGCCTTTTTCCCACTGCTCTTCAGGCGTCACTTCGACTGGCCAGAGGAATTTACTTTGTCTGATTCTCTACGAACACAGGGTTTTCCGGTCAGGGAAAGCCTTGTAAACGTTGCATTAAGCTGCTCATTTAAATCAAGCTCAGTTTCTAAGAGTATATATGCTATTGGACCGAACAGAACGTCGCAAAGTATGGTATTAAATACTTCTAGTAAGAAAAAACTTATTAAATAATGCCTTTTTCCAATCATCGTTCTTCAGACATCACTTCGACTAGCTAGAGGAATTTGTTCTGTCCGATTCTCTACGAATTGGGTCTTCCAGTTAGGGAAAGTCTTGTAAACGACCTTTCTAGCGGCTCTTTTTAAATCAGGCTTTCTAAGAGTATATGCTATCGGATTGAACAACGCTGGACAAAACCTGAGGTAAGTAATTAAGATTATAACTCCGTGCGACTGCCCATATTCATCATTTGTGGCATAATGTTGTAAAAATTCCACGATAAAAGAAGGCAACCAGAAAGCTACGTACAGCGAGAGGAGCAGTACGCATGTAATTACAGCCTTCGTTTGCCTTTTCTGCATCTTGGTTTCGTGTTTGATGCTCTCGGCCGGCAAGTTTTCCCGGGCGATTCTTTGACACTGATTTCGTAGCAGCAGCAGCATGCGCGTATCAAGAACGATCATTGCAATGAGGGGAACGAAAAAAAAGACCGCAGCATTAAAAGTGAAGAATATTAATTCCTTTTCTTTCATGCGTAGTTTAACGTCCTCTTTCGCCGTTTCGACCCGAAGCTTCCCCGCAGTCCATGAAAGGCGAACTAAAGGCGTTAAGCTGATTAACCAGGCAGCACTAAGAATGGCGACAACCCGCCTACGGTTGAAGATTTCACGGTAACGCAAGGCCCACATTATAAATATGTAGCGGTCGAAAGTCATAACCAAGATGTGTAGTACTGACGACACAGAGTTAAATGTTGAAAATAAATTGGCACTCAGGCAAACGGGTGACGCAAACGTACTGCTGCAGGCGACGACGAGAGGAATTCCGACCAATCCCATCAGAAAATCGGATAACGCCAAACTGGCGAGAATAATGTTGCTTGTTGATCTCAAGCTGGAGGAAGACCCGATTAGCAGAACTACAAACGCGTTGATGAATAGAATGAATAACGCTAGAACTATCGCAGGAATGGTATCGGTGGGTATTGCAGAGGGAAAAAAACTTCCGTTCCCAGTATGGGAGTCGTTGTTTAGGATGGTCATATCTCCTTCGCTTGGGGTCTACTAAGTCTTGATATGTTGCTGCCCGGTAACTTGGTTGTCGGCAATCTGCACAAACAGTTTGAGCTCTGTTTCCTATTTATGACATATACTCATTGGTTGTTAAATAAAAATGTACGCGTGTTTAAGTCCCTTCAGCAAAGTTATTTCTCTTTGGCTTTAGTGGCCGTTCGTCGCGTTCTATATCTGGAAGAGGAAAAGAGAAGTAACAATTAAGTTCAATTAAGTGGTTATTCGATTTTTAAAATACAAAGAAGTGTATGCGATGTAGGGAACGCGAAAAAGTTTGTTGAATCAGCTGGCCTTTGGCGCTTTTCGCAGTTGTTTTTTATGATTTGCATGACAACGCGAGCGCTTCGCAACGTCGCGCTTAGAAGTTGTCCAAAATCAAACCGACAATTAAAGTACGTATTATCTTGAATATCCCATCTTGATCTGTATTTGATACAGCTTGTTTGTTGTTTGTTCTCCATGGCTCACTTTCATAATTTCTCTACACTGAGATGGTCGAGCACCTTCCTCAATATTTAAACGACACCAAGAAAAAAGAATTATCCTCACTTTTCTTTCGCGTTATGTACTGCCCTTAGAACCAAAGCAAACAGTAACGTGAAGTTAAAGGTATTATAGATTTCGTTTGAACTGCAATAGTCTGTCAGGCTTTTAAAGTGAAGTTCATAGCTCATGACACAGAGGTTGCCTTTGGTGGTTAAGATGATATGGGTTAGTTTACAAGTGTCGGAAAGCTTTGATTTATGTGACTTCATAATTTCAGCCCTAAATATTGAAATGTCAGCTATATAAATTGGAGATTATCGATACTGAACTTGACAAATATTCTTTAGCCTAGTTTTAACAAAACCTCTATATAAATCGCTGATTTTAAAGAAAAAAACCTTTACTCCGTAATTTAGAACTTATGAGAGTTAGGTGCCTAAAGGCTATGTTTCGTCGGTTTAGTCTTCGGATCGAAGTATATAAATTAGTTCAAGCTCGAATCCTTTTCTACTGTCTTCCCTTACGCGGTTTTCTGTGCGCAGAATCTCGAAAAGCGGGAAAAAAAGGAAAATATACGAAAAAGGGAAAAATCGGGTATACAGCAATGAAGCAAGCGCTCTGGGGAGATTTCCTCCAATTTTATAATTACACGAAAAACTACTAATCTCGGCTACTAGCTCGAAAGTAGCATATAACTACTACTAATTAAAAATAATTCATAATACCCTCAAACCGCAAGAGTGGCTATACATATCAACTCTGAACACCAGGAGTATTACCTTAATGGTTCAAGCAGACAGCATTATCTATCTAATTACACAGCGAAATAGGTATTGTTACGCTGTTTCGTGCAATATATCTTACACTTGGTGAAGTTTCTTTTCAAATCGCTTCTTTTGTCGGCAAGCGTTTGTAGGACCCTTTTGAGCTCGACGTTTCTACCTATTTTCTTATATTTCCTTTCTCTTTGACACAAAGACGATCTCAAATATGTATTTCCGGGCTATTCTACAATCGGGATGTACTGTGTTTATAGATCAAGGGCATCGTCTTTCTTTGGAAGTAAATATGAATTATATCTTTTAGTTGTCAGTTGACGATGGTGAGTAAATATTCACTCAGCTGCCTGAAGCTTTCGCCCATAGGCAATTTGTCAAAAATTTTAGAATGATCTACTAATGAAACTGATGAGACACGATTGTTCCTTTTTAGGCTATGTATGCATCTCTCGGCAAAGACATAGTACAACGCAAAATGTCTTTAGTTTACTTGTTTTATTTTTTACAAAGATTAAAAGAAGATATCATTAGCGCAGCTGAAAGGCGCTCTTCTGTGAAATCTAAATATTATGTTTTCATTAGGCACACACACACACACAAAAGAAAAAAAGGAAAGAGGAGTGAATAGAGAAGCATTAACATTTGTAGAGATTATAATCAGTAAGAAACAGTTTGTTAACAAAACTAGTCTTTTGTCAGATCATTTTGTCAGCTAATCCTATGAAACGCAAACTAAAGAACGCAATTTGCATCATATTTGATTTTGATTTAAGCTTGATCTTGGAAAGCAAAGGACAATGCTATTTCTTTTTTAATCTAAACAACAATGCCAAATTTATCCTAAAAAAAGTTCTCCATCTCCTTCTTATCTGATGTGTTACTCATCAACGTTATTTACTTCTACTCTACAATGGTATTCCGCCATTACGGGTAAAATGTACCTGCCTACAAGCGGAGCTCCCGCCTACAATCAAGTAATTCCTCCTTAATTTTACACGTTCCACGAGTGTGTGTTATAACGAAGCCGCCTCGTAGGCGTTTATGCGCATATTTTATGGCTTTATTCTTTAAATTTGAATTGGTATTATGTGCTCTCGTAATTCAATTCTTCAATTCATCTTGACTGTATTCAATTGCATCTGCTTCCCAAGAAGGTTTCGCATTCCAGTTCTCACCAAGTTAAATTATAATTTAATATTAAAAAAATAATAAAACAAATAAAAACTGAAAAAAAGAATAAAAAGAAAAAAACAATTATCGTAAATATTAAATCACTGGCAAATGCCTGTTTTATCCTAGGAGTTGAAAATAAATTACTCTTTTCCAGTTTTACTACAGTTTAGTTTAATCAACTGAGTTGCGTTCAATTCTCCAACGCCGGATACTTTGAGCAGATGGATCAATGTGCTAACGCTCGAAACGTCAGTTTTATTTACTTGTTTATTTTTTGGGGGGAGGGGGGTGGGGGGTTAATGTAACATTTTTTCCCATTTTTTAACCAGATATTCAGCACGCCGCAAAAAAGTGGGCTGCAAGTAGCGGAGCATTTTGCACTGATTCTTCGAAGTGTTTGGATATCGGATAAAACACTCTGTCTCTTGACTGATTTAGCCAGTCAAACAGAGAAACTAGCAAAAAAATTAAGGCATCTAGTATGCGATATCCAGACCTCTTCCACCGTGGCAGTTTCCTTTTGTTTCTTCTTTTTAACGAATTATTGGTGAGCTTGAGCAGAGGGACCTTAACATCCGACAACGGCGACGGCAAAGACGACGAAATATTCAATTTTTTCTGAACTCGGATATCAGGAATTGAACTTTAGGTCGAGAGTTCGTCCAAATTTAACATCCGACGACGGCGACGCCAAAGACGACGAAATGTTTAATTTTTTTCTGAACTCGGATATCAGGAATTGAACTTTAGGTCGAGAGTTCGTCCAAATTTAACATCCGACGACGGCGACGGCAAAGACGACGAAATGTTTAATTTTTTTCTGAACTCGGATATCAGGAATTGAACTCTAGGTCGAGAGTTCGTCCGAATTTGACAAATTAAGTGAGTTGAAATAATCGTGAAGAAGATTAAAAGAATGTAAATGCACTTTTAAACGACGTCGGTATTTCGCCGCCGTCGCCGTCCTCGGATCTTAAGGTGACTAACTGATTTCACGAGGTGGAGTGGTTTCTTATTTTATATCAATACATTTTGAGGAGGCCGGCTCTCAGAAGTAAAAGCAGTTTTCACTAAATTAAAAGTTGACAGTCGGCAACAAACATCCTGGTAGCGGTTTGCTTTTTCTGTTTTCTTTGAAAATTTTACTTAAACACAGCGCTTTATTAAATTGGTTAACGTATTACCATAGTGATAACCTCCTACTTTTCCTTCACACTGAGATATCGAATTAATTTGAGTGTCAGTGCTTCGGTTTTCTAACTAGAATCCGTCTACTATGTAAAGGAGATTTAAAAAAATTTGGCAAGAGAATTCATACTAAAAACTATATATGCAACATATCTATACATAAAACGTACTAAATATCGATCGGGTATATATACTCGTCTTGATCAGGTGTCGATGCTTTAGACAACAATCGTTTAATAAATGTTTTGTAACATTTTTCTTAAACTTTTTCTACTTCAGTGAAGTTCTTAAAGGTTAAAAAGGTTTCTTGAATATTTTGCACACAAATACACTATGTGATCTGGCAAAAAAACAAAATTTGCTGTTGTTAGAGAGGAAACTTACCGCAGATTTGTGTTTTGTCTTCTCACTCATATGATGACTGCCAATAACATTTTTAGGTTCAGGTAGACACGTTCCAGGTGCAATATCAAAACCAGAGCACAAGAAAGCACCTTTTATTCCCTCATTCGATTCCGCCCGTTTCGCGGAGACAAAAAGACAATTTGATTTTTCGATGATCTGAAGGTCGGGGCAAAATTTGAATGAGAATCGTTGGTACACTCTACGACGCGGCAGGAGTTGTATTTGCCAATTTCGACTTTTGTTTTTGTTTTTTGTCTTTTTTTTTCTATGAAATTTCCTCATCAGTTCGATATGCAAATGTCCATTACAAATTGCGAGAAATTGTCAAGATGATTGATCCTTTCTTTCTAGGGAAATAAAGAGCGCACGCTAGCGTTGAGCTGACTACTTGTACTAAAAAGTGCCACTTAAATTTTCAGAGCAGTGCATAAAGTGAAATATATCAAATACGGAACATGATAGTTCAATGTTGATAATGCCGAAAAATGAAAAAGACGTAAAAATTATTATACATATTTTTTCATTTTCCTTGTTTGTGATTAAACCAGGGCTATATTTAGCCAAATGTGGGCACACTTAGTTTCCAGTTTCAGCTGGCAGTATGCTGTTTACAACGCAGGCAAGAGGTCAGAGCGGAAGTTGAGCTACAAAATCTTCAAGTGGTATACACGGCAATACAAATCATGCGCTTTTACTTTGTAACCTTGTTACCAAGGCAATCTTTAAGTAGAAAGTAACACGCGAAACGTGGGATAACTATGCTAAACGTTATTGGAAGATAGCCTAAAAGGGATAGAAATAATCGGCTGTCGGGGAAGGCACGCAATATAGTAACCGACGTATCCGGGGGGGGTACTCGCAGAAAAATTGGGTAGGGGTGTGCGGCCCGCTTCCCAAAACCCTTACCCTATTTATGACCAAAATCTGCGATTTTCCCTACCCTATTTATCACCTAACCAAAAATTTGATACCCTATTTTGTGAAGGGCTTTTGTTGCTTGTATTTTCTAGCCTACAAAGCAGCCGGTGGGGAGGAAGGCAAAGCGCGGATGGAAGGAGGGGGACATGATAAGTAAGTAGCTTCTTCTAAAAAAGTGCATTCAAGACTACAGTGCAGAAATCGTTACCCTATTTATGACCAAAATGGCGGCAAAATAGCCAAAATCGATACCCAATTTATGACCAAAACGGCTGAAAAACCCTACCCTTTGGGGCCGCACATACCTATATAGCCCATATTAGGGAGTACCCCCCCCCCCGGGCTGACGTATCGATCGACATCGTCTTAGATACATGATCCTGGATCTGTTAGTCTTTTGTTTACTGAGTGCGACTACTTATGGACAAGTGATCTTATTTCAAGTAGTCTTAACATGCATGAACGTTGTCGGGATTAGCGATAATTTTGTCCTTTTCGTTTATATTTCCGTTATGTTCTTCTTCTTTCTATCAAAGGGAGCCATGTAAACAAGCTTAATACATACTAAGTAAATCGCTAATTTCATAAATGGGAGAGCGAGGTCACTATTACAAGAGCTTCAGGGGCACCCAACGAGAATTTGGTTCAAAACCACTTCGACATAGCATTGTTAACCGTATTTTAGTATTTAAACGGCAGATATAGGCATATTTTTTTCCCCTAAAAATTTTTCATCTGTTCGGATTTCCTAGCTGAAAGTCTAGTGATCCGAAAATTATAGGGATCAAAACTTACCTTTTCGAAAGTTTCAGCTAGAAAAAAGGCTCCCGAAAATTCTAAGGTGACCTTTTTAGGCTAAGAATCTGTTAAAAATGGGCTCTTATACTTTTTTTTAGATGTTCGAAAATTCTAGGAGTGGCAGACAAACAAGAAATTTACAACAAATGTTTCGAAAATTCTAGATCTCAAATCGTCTTCCGAACAGATATTTTCCGAAAATTGACGTTGGGTGTCCCTGGAGCTTTCTCTTTATGTATAAATATACGACACTACCATATATAGCTCTTAACATAGTACCTGATTTAGCTCTTGTTCACTACGTTATAAGTACGATGCAAGCGCCAGTGAATGTGTCTTCAACTTGGTAGGTGACATTGGAATCCAGTAAAGCGCACAGTAAGGTATTGTAACGCAGTGACACTTCTAAGTTTGTTTAGCTTGGAATTCTGCTTCTTTTATGTCAATAGTTCAGGCTTGTTAAGCCTCTCTCGCTGACAGATGTAGAAATGTTCTGATGGCGAGTTCGATATACACTCTTAGAATTTGACACCAAGAAATATTACATATAATTAGCATGCAATGGCATATCTTCCTTTGTTAGTAATACCTTTGATAAATTCTTTTGCACTTGTGTTATGTACTTTGCTACGGTGGACGAGTTTTATCTTCGAATTATTCCCGCATGTCAATACGTTTCAATTTGAATTCAGCAGCATACTATTTATTGATACTCGTCATTATAATTACCTTGCCTCTCAGCTTTGTCTTCAGTTCACACTCGCTAATCCTTCCTGTTAACAGCTTAGTAGAAAAAACTGGAAGATCCATTTTGGCCCGCACGTTGCCTTAGCTGTGTGCACGCTTTAAGAATTTTAGACCCAAAGGACCCTAAAGTTATTCGAAGTTATTTCGATCCAAAAACAGTGACTCAAGATGTGTTTTGCTTTAAACCGAACATTTATTTTTACAACCGAACATTTATTTTTATAACAAACTTCCAGCGAGGAGGGGGAAAGGATGGGCGGTGATCTCCATTAGCTCGTCAGGTCATAGTCATCTGCAAATTATGACACCCGCCCCCATGAAAACAAGGCTACAAAAATTCTTAACCAAACCCCAAAATATGTAAGCTCACTATGAACCAGAAACTGTCATCTTCATTGCACTGATCAGTTGCCAGTAAACTATACCCTGTTCTAAGACCAAAATCGATAAATCCTAACCATGCTCCAGATACAGCAGCCCCCGCCGTACCTCCTCAAATCCATCTCCCGTCGGTAAGATCAATCACTATCCGTCCTGAACTCACATGTTCTTATTTTTCTTTTGAAGGAGATGCCTTCTAGGGAAGTCTAATTTTTTTTCATATATTAAGAGATTATTTGTGAATGTGTGTATGCCATTTATTAAAACCGTTCAATAACCGCAAGATTAAATGGTCCTGGTTTATTGTTGTTTAGCCTTTCTGTCTATCTTATCGTGTTTTTCCTGAAACAGTTGTCTAAGTAAGGCTTAGCAGATGTATAGATAGTTGAAAAGGTTCCATGGCAATATGGTGTGTTATAAACGCAGGTTGTATAAAATTACCAAAAAAGGGATGTTTTGTCATCAGATTGTGCTGCATGTTTGGATCATGCCCGATTTCCGCCACCATTATAATTCTTGATTTGACTATGTTACTAGACTATTATGTTTTCGCGACATAGTTAGATGTGTACAAAATCAATTAAGGAAAAAAATAAGCTAGATTAACGGGGACAGGATCAGTCGAAGTCTACCTACGTTCTCGATCTCTCCCCGACTAGACCAGGGCAGGGTTTCTAGTGCGACCACAGCCAAAATATTCGTATCTAAGAATCAAGAAGCATCTAAGACGCTTAAAGCAATTAATTAAGCGATATACGTCCTTGCCTTATCAGTAGGCACTATACATTTGTTTTTCTGACGTCAAGTGGTCGGTCCGCGTGACCACAGTTGCAGTAATTTTTAGCATCTATTCAATGTTAATTTCTGCGAATGCCGAACGTCGAATTTTGAAAGGACTTTCTAATCAAGGGCGGCATCTCTTAAAACTTTCAGTTGTATTATACTGCCTTCAATAATTTTCACATGGTACTGTTGAATTGTGCGAACTGAAGAACATGACCATCACAGTGCATTCGCGAATCGTTTGTCACTCCTAAGTTCATTGCTACATTTAAACAGACAACTATAAAGAACGATATTGAATATCATGCCGCGTTGTTTACGTTGTTAATGGGGTGATTCCCCAAGCAAATAGTTTTTTTTTTTTCTTTTTTTAATATGTTAATGCAAGATTGTGTAGGAAAGAGACACGCCGTGTCGAAGACCGTCAAACGAGTAGCAATATTGCCAGCTAGTTGTCACTGAAAGTGACAATTGAATACACGCGAATTAAAAAAAATCAGCAAAATCACAAATAAAAACCTAGAAAGACTTTAATAACCTACATCGATAGCCTGATCATCTGAGTGGTTCCGCGAAAACGTAACAACTGGATTTACAGTGTATCATTATAAAATTCTTGGTAGGTTTATAAGCATGGTTGCACAGAAACTGACAACACAGTAGTTATTGGCTGTCATAAAGCTGACCTTGGGGATCGAAAGAGAAATGGATTAAGGCACTGTCAGTTTGACCCGGTCAAGTTCGTGTTATCAAAAAGTGCTCCTCACTAGAGCCGCTGTTAACCATAATCGTCTATGGGGGAACTCACAGCAGCTCGAGAGGTGTTCCACATCAGTCGGTCCGCGTAAAAGGAGAAAAATTGCAGACTACATGAAATCATTTACCAGCGTTACGAAGTTAAAGTAAAATTGGTCCATACTCATTTCTGTATTTCAGTTTTTACATACCGTCAGTAATAAACTGCAAGAACTGAGTAGAAAAGTTAATATTGAGGTGTTCGCCGACTCTTTTCAATTGTCACTTTTGTTTCTGTAACCTGGGAAGTTCTTCGAAGCGCTTTAAGCCGAACAATTAGTCTGTTCACGAAAATCTATTTGCTACCCATCGAATTAATCAAACCATTTCCTTATGCCCTTATGTTTTATATATAACTCGGAGTTCTCTGCTGGCAAAGGCCCCACAATTCTCTCTTCTTTTCCCTGGTATTTTTGTTTATGGTATAAAACAAAACTTACCTTCTTATCTGCTCAAGAAATCGCCTATTGCGCGCTTTCCGTTCTCATCGGACAAACTGATTGTCCGACCTAACCACTAATTTATTTACTGATCCAAAACTCCTGCCTACATAAGTTGGAGCTGTCATTCATTTCTAGGTCTTCATATACCACGCGCTTTATTGTTTATATAATAAACGCTGTTTTCAATGGTTTGAACCCAGCAGACGAAATGTCATTTTCTAGATTTTTCGCTGAAAAAATGTTCCTCCAGTAAGTGTAGCCCTAAAAGGTATTTGTTAAAAACACTCGCAAGTTTCATTCTGGTATAATTTATGATCATTCAATAATTGTTTCATCTATTACTCATTGGAAATCAGCAGGGAAACTTTGAGTTTTAGCGTCACGTTTACAGTAAATGGCAATTTGTACCAGGTGACCAAGTCGAAGTTGTCGCCGGTTTTACTGTTCAGTATATCAGTAGTTCCTCGTTACGTTAGGTCCATAAGAATCGTTTTGGACTCTTTTTATTTGGTATTTTCTTTTTTGAGAAATTTTTCAACTTGAATCTGATGTTTGCCGAGAGAGAAAACAGCCCTCGAGAAATTGTGGCTTCATTTGTAGCTTTTCGGATTGGGAGTAGCATATTTTTTTAATGTTCCTTATAATGAGCTCTTCTCGGGCTTGAAGGATTTACTTTTTATAGACACCAAGTACTCATGAGTGTAAAAACGCTAAGAAATGGCCAACAAAAGGCGAGAGCCTTGATTTTGAAGCTTTTTTAAATGAACAGACTAAGATTTTTAGGAAGAATATTCCTTCGGTCAAAGGAATGAGCCTTTTCTCTTTGTTTTTTTTTTCTTTAATGTTTTTATTATTTTTTGTCAATAACATGAAGAATACTAGTAAATATTAAATTTGCCAAGATTTCCACGTTAAATATTGCTTTACCCACATGAACCCTTCGAGCCCTAATATCAGAATTTAAATTCTCATTTGCTGTCC